TGACTTTGGGGTTAGATGTTTTGAAACTGGCACTTGATTCACAACGCTAGGACTCCAAGGCTGTGCCTGGAGGGTTACAAGTTGTCCAGCTCGGGTTTCGGTTTGCTTTTCCCTCCATAAGAAAGACGATCCATTATTTCCTAAGAAACATAGCAGCATATTCCCAATCACCTCTTTTCTGTTCTCCAATGTACATTTCCCACTTCTCCCTTCTGTCTGTGATGATTAACTTTGCAAAACTCAGAAGGCATCATTCACATGATAGGCCACCTGATCCAGAGTCACGTTTCCAGTTCCACCATCACCTCATTTCACCTTTCTGTGTCCTTTATCAGCAAAACACAATTATGTGAAATTGGGGGCTGAGGCAAGGAAATCGTTAAGTATGAAGTCGTTTGGATTTAATGATTTAACAAGGATTAGAGGGGAGGGAAGCTTCTTTGGGTGGCAATGCATACATATCTCTTCACTGTCTCCAAAAGGCAGTAATCCATCCATCAGATGGAGGAAACAGAACGACCTGCCTCAGGGGAGCGTGCTTGCGCCAACAATGTTTAACATTTACATAAATGATCAGCCACTGCCAGAAGAGACAGAGAGTTTCATCTGTGCTGATGATCGTGCCATCACTGCTCAAGCAGGGAGCTTTGAAATGGTTGAACAGAAGCTCTCCAAAGCTATAGGTGCTCTTACTGCCCATTACAGGGAAAACCAGCTGATTCCCCAATCCATCTAAAATGCAGACCTGTGCTTTTCATCTTAAGAACAGGTCAGCATCTCAAGCATTGCAGCACACCAAAATACCTGGACCGTGCTCTGACCTACAAGAAGTACTGCTTGACTATAAGCAAAAAGTGGGTGCTAGAAATAACATCATACTAAAGCTGAGTGGCACAACCTGGAGATCACAACCAGACACAGTGAGGACATCTGCCCTTGCGCTTGGCTACTATGCTGCTAAATATGCATGCCCAGTGTGGAATACATCTCACCATGTTAAAACAGTGGATGTGGCTCTTAATGAGACCTGCTGCCTTATCACAGGATATCTACGCCCTACATCACTGAAGAAATTATACTGTTTAGCCGGTATTGCACCACCTAATATCTGTCAGGAAGTAGCAGTCAGGATTCTCCCCTATGAACCATCAAGGTTGTTAAGATCTTCTGGAGGGGCCCTGCTCTCGGTCCCACCACCTTCGCAATCACGTCTGGTGGGGACGAGGGACAGGGCCTTCTCGATGGTGGCCCCTCGGCTCTGGAACTCTCTCCCGTTGGAGATTAGATCTGCCTCTTCCCTCCTGACTTTCAGAAAGCTGGTAAAAACCTGGCTTTGGAATATAGCATTTGCAGAATGGTGATAGAGTCAATAACGGCTGATTACACTGGCGGATGGTGATGAATTTGTGATTTTATTCTGACGACCTGGTTTTTGTAATTGTATGATATTGTGTGATCTGTATTTAATGTATTTTGTATTAATGTATTATGATGCTATTATGTTTACTATATTTGTGTTGAATTTTCTGCTGTTAGCCGGCCTGAGTCCCTCTTCGGAGGTCGAGAAGACCGGGTTATAAAAGCTCTATTTATTTATTTATTTATTTATTTATTTATTAAATAATAATAAATAATGAAAGGACCAAGGCATTGACATCTCCGGCCCATCCTCTGTTCAAATATCAGCCAGCAAGCCAATGCCTTAAATCAAGAAACAGCTTTCTAAGATCTACAGAGACACTCACAGGAACACCTCAGCAAGCAAGAGTCCAAATTGGCAGACTAAAACCAGGAACCTCAATCAGTGGCTGAGACTGGATGATTAATTCCCTCCTGGGCACACAGAACTCTGGTTGACCTGAAAAGTGCTGAACAGCATGAGATGCAGAGCCAACCTTAAGAAATGGTGCTACAAAGTGTAGTCCACGACATGTGAGCACAGAGAAGAGCAAACCACAGAAGTTACATAAGTACTGAATTAATAGCTAAAATTGATAAAACTCAATGGGGGGAATGTTGGAGATGCAAAGCTCAGAAAGGAGCCTTTTTCCATGTTTGGTGGACCTGTAAGGAGATAAAAAATTCTGGGGAAAGGTGACGAAAGAAACCAAGAAAATGATCTCTAAAAAGATCAAGAAACACTCAGAAAGATGCCTATTGGGATTGTTTCAAGAGAAAATCAGTAAAGATGATATAGAAATTTGTCAATATTTGTGACAACAAGAACTACAATAGCAAAGTCGTGGAAAGGGGGAAAAGAACTACTCATTAAGGACTAGAGAAGAAAATAGGTAGAGTATCTCCAAATGGCCAAGCTCTCCAATGATTCAAGGGGAAGGAACAATGATGAGTTTGTTAAAAATGGGTCACAAAGCAAAACCCTGAATTTTCCCAAAATGGTGTGGATGCCTGGGTTAAACAATGGTGCCCAAGTTCATGGTGACTATGTTGAACTGTAGTTTTGTGAAGAGGGCAGTTCAGGTTATGACCTGGAGCAATTTCTGCTTTTATATGTATAAATATATACATTTTTATGACACAGGAGGCAAAACTTTTTGATTCACCCTAGTATTATCTTTATTTATATTTTTGTTAGATACTGGTTCCATAGGCTGTGCTGTCGGTAGTTCATGGGTGGGAATGAGGAGGTGGCGGAATTGGGGGAATAATGTGTGTGTTTTGATTGATGAAATTTGGAAAATTGTATGTTTTTTTCTTCATATAATACAATAAAAATTTTATACCATAAATATATTGGTGGATCCCTTTTCCTGATATGTACTTCCACGAAGCTGAGCAATTCTAGGAAAGATATTGGCAAGCAGTAGGTCCATGGAGAGATGGATCTACTAAGAAGAAAGAGAGATGCCCGATTCTTGTGGTGGATTCGGCTTGCACTTGCCATGTGTGCCGCTTCGCTTCTCCATTTTAGGCACCCAAACTGTTGGAAATAGCAACCATCTCAAGTCTCCACTAGTGTTTGTTATGTATATAATTCAGATTGCTTACTGTATTGTATATGTGTGTATTGGTCTGCAGTTTTTCCTTAGCTCTATGTTGTGGGACGGGGCTGCAAACCATGTGATCAGGTCTGGGCTTGCTCAGGACTAAGACTCCATTTTAGAACAGTTTGCTTTCAGATGCCAGCAGGAGCAGTATGCTTTAGATCTCAGTACGGGCAGTATGCTTAGAGACTCCATTGGACTTTCAGACAAGGCAGAGACTCTACTAGACTCTCAGAACAAAGAGATGCTTTAGATTAACCATCCTCAAACTGCAGCCCTCCAGCTGTTTGGGCCTTCAACTCCCAGAATTCCTGACAATTGAACAAGCTCATTAGGGCATCTGGGATTTGGAGGCCCATACAGCTGGAGGGCCGCAGTTTGAGGATGCCTGATTTAGATTATGGACTGTTGTTTCTAAGAAAGATGCCCTGTGTTATCTACACAGAGAAACTACTTCAAATCCTATCTGTAACTGGACTGATAAGCAAAGTACCTGTATGCCGAATACATGAAATTTGTGAGTAAACCAACTATGTTATTTTTAAAGAAGTCTACTTATTTTTGTCTCTTGAGAGCATGATATAAAGGCAATTATATTTTAAGGGAGAGTAGATGTTTTTGGGCAAATAAAAAAAAACACAATAACCCAGTAAAAAAAAACACTTCTGAAACTCTGCTGAATGTATATACAGTATATGTTTGTGCATTGGCATATCTTTGTCCCTAACAGTTCAAAGACGTACCTAGGCACATCAGTTTAACAACTGAGAAACCTAGTTGCCTTGCATGGATTATTACTGTTGTTGTTCTTATGTTTTTATGATGTCTGTTGTTTGGTTTTACTGTTTTAATTATTGAAATATAATATATTTTAATTGTGCTTTATTTTATTCTGTTTTTGTTGGGCTTGGTCCTCATGTAAGCCGCCCTGAGTCATTTCGGGGAGAAGGTGGTGGGATGTAAGAATAAAGTAGTAGTAGTAGTTGTTGTTGTTGTTGTTGTCATCACCCCTTCTGGCATCACTGCTGCAGTGTTCAAACCAGACAGGCGGTCTTGGGGCCTCCTCCACCATCGCCCCCTTGACTGTTGTGTTCCACCACTGGCTTATTTAACCACCATTGTTATTGCTGCTCATGGAGGAGATGCTGTGGCTTACCATTGCTCAGTGTTTGAACTTTTATTAGCATGCCACCCCCTTGCCCCCCTCCCTGGACCAAATGGACTGGTCTGGGCTAAAGAGACTGGACCAGCTGGATGCCTTTTGGGAATCTTTCATCAGGACAATTGGGTGCGGGGTAGATTGGACTAATTTTAGGTGGGGGTGGGTGGTGTGTGACAATGTTTTGGGGGTTCTAAGCTGTTATTTTTCAGAGTTTTGCTTGTTTAAGCCACTGGACTGTAAAACCTGTATCGTGCTTCAATGTAATGTAAGTTTGATATGTTTGAAATGTTTTAATATGTTTAAATAATTTGAAAGACTATCTTAATTGATATGTATGTGTTTTTACAGTTTTATAATATTGTATTCTAATGATATTGTTGTTATCTGAATCTGGCATTGAATTGTTGCCATCGTTTGTAAGCCGCCCTGTGTATCCCTTTGGGGTGCGAAGGGTGGGGTAGAAGTACAATAAAAAAAGAAATAACAAGGTCATGCCTTTCCAAAGATCATAACATCTCCAAAAGGTTAAAGAGAGTTCCATTTTCCAAAACAAACAACCTGGTGAATCAGAATGGGTTTTTTTCTTTTCTTTTCCCCCCCAATGTCTAGCGGCACAAGGCAAGACATCGCCCAGGGCCAGCCATTTCTTGCAAGTGTGGGCTGTGATTGTCTTTCAGAGGTGACGATGCCTCATAATTCTGTCTTGCAGCTCCTGAAACTCACAGGAAGGAAGACCAGAAGGGACCCACAGCACAGGAAGAGGTGAGCGGCAAAACGTGAAGAATTCAAGAAGAAAGCAAAGTGACTGGAAACAGTATTAGCAACCAAGTGCAGACAAGGAAACCGGCCACTGCTGTCTACGTGGTTCAGTTTTCTCACTTCCTGTGGATTGAAAGATTCGAGTGAGGCTCCAACTTTGTAGAGGCTGCTTTAGCTTTCTCGGGTGACCTGCTTACAAAGTCCTCATGAAAGCTTCCATCTTTTTTCTTTCTTTGTTTGTTTCTGCCGAGACACGTCCATTCAAGATCCTCGAGAGACTGCATCCCCAAAAGCCACAGGTCATTAAGTGCTAGGAAACAGATTCCGGAGAAAAGGAACGGGCTATTTTCAAGCACCGCAGGGACAGCTCCAAATGTGAGACCCACTGAAGTGAGAACTTTCAGGATGCCGCCAAAAAGTGGGTTTATGGAGAAGGTAGGAGGAAGGAAATGTGTGTGTTGTTGTGGGCCTTTCTGAACTGAGCCTAACCTTTTGTTGCATTTTCTTGACAAGATTCAGAACAATTGGATCCCATGGAAAGCAATGCTTTAAAGCAGCATCCCTGCCAAAAGGACCCAATGGGGTTGCCTTTGCCTTCCTCTGGGAGAATGTGACTTCCCAAGATCTCCTAGTGTATTTTCATGACTGATTTGAATATAGATACAGATAAAGCTTATGGAGCCCCCGGTGGTGCAGTAGGTTAAACCACTGAGCTGCTGAGCTTATTGACTGAAAGGTCACAGGTTCAAATCCGGGGAGTGGTGTAAGCTTCTGCTGTCAGCCCCAGCTTCTGCCAACCTAGCAGTTCGAAAACATGCAATTGTGAGTAGATCAATAGGTACCACTCCGGCGGGAAGATAATGGCACTCCATGTAGTCATGCTGGCCACATGACCTTGGAGGTGTCTACGGACAACGCCAGCTCTTCAGCTTGGAAATGGAGATGAGCACCACACCCCACAGTCTGACACAACTGGACTTAATGTCAGAGGGAAACCTTTACCTAAAATGGAAGTGGGTCTCAAACTTCCTAATGCCGCGACCCCTTAATACAGTTCCTCATGTTGTGGTGATCCCCAACCATAACATTATTTCTGTTGCTACTTCATTTTGCAACTGTTATGAATCGTAATGTAAATATTTGATATGCAGGATGTATTTTCATTCACTGGACCAAATTTGGCACAAATACCTGATACGCCCAAATATGAATACTGGTGGAGTTGGGGGGGGGGTGATTTTATAATTTGGGAGTTGTTGTTGCTGGGATTTATAGTCCATCTACAATCAAAGAGTATTCTGAATTCCACCAGTGATGGAATTGAACCAAACTTGGCACACAGAACTCCCATGACCAACAGAACATACTGGAAGGGTTTGGTGGGCATTGACCTTGAGTTTTGGAGTTGTAGTACACCTACATCCAGAGAGCACTGTGGACTAAAACAATGATGGATCTGGACCAAACTTGGCACAAATAATCAATATGCCCAAATGTGAACAGTGGTGGAGTTTGGGGAAAATAGACCTTGACATTTGGAAGTCGTAGTTTCTGGGATTTATAGATCATATACAATTACAGCAGCAGGAGGGATTTTGGTGGGAGGATTCGCCGTCTTGTTTCCAAAAAGGAAGACGACGAGAGGCAGAGAAATCTTCAGCCTTTTCTGCCAAAGGGGTTCCTAAGACCATCAGAAATAGGTGTTTTCTGATGGCCTTTGGCGACCCCTCTGAAACCCCCTTGGGACTCCCCCCCCCCTCCAGTTTGAGAAAAGCTGGCCTATGGTCCAGCACTACATAGCAATAGCTTTTATACAGGACTGTATTTCTGTAGAATTCTTTTTTTGTAAAGGGAAAAAGAAAAGAAAATGCATTCTCTGCTGCTTGGTTCGTCAAGTTTGGAAGAAGACAGTGCTCGCATACTTCTTGGTGATTGCGCGAAAGCCATGCCGCTTGTAAAGCAAGAGGTTAAAAGCATTATCTGGTGTATTATCCTCTTTGGCACAGCCACATCGCAGAGGCCTGATTTGCCTCCACCCGCTAGATTTCCTGGGTGTGTCACAGTTGTGATACAGGGTCAGTGCTTATATAGAGTCAACTTCTGATCCTTCTGTTTTGTGTGCATGCAACTGTTTGAGATCTTGATTTATGACACATACACACCAATGGTTTGGAGAATGGCTTTACTGTGGGAACTCCATTTCTTTGGAGGCTTTTAAATAGAGGCTGGATGGCCATCTGTCAGAGGTGATTGTGCTTTCCCTGCATGAAGGCAGAATAAAGGGGGTTGGACTGGATGTCCCTTGGGGGTCTCTTCAAACTCAATAATTTTTTATGACAGGAAAGTTACTCAAACCAAGCTGAATCTTGGAATGCTGAGAGAGAGCTTTTATTACACTATTTTCTAGGTTATATTCTAATATGGACCTATAGAATTTGGGAACTGATCCCTTCTTTCTTTTCTCTAAAATATTATCCAGTTCCAAGCTATGCAATAGCATCCGGGGATGAAGTAATGAAGACTTTGTTAAGGAACGGAGGCTTGCATTTGGATATCTAGAAAAGAAGACAAAATGTGTTGTCTAATTTATACATTCGTTTTATACTTGGTGGTGTTGGAAATTATGGGTGGTAGAATGGCGTACCTGTATTTTGGGTATTCTATTGTCGTTCTCATAATCTATATTCCATTAAGTCAGTATGCATATATATATTTCAACAGTTCCAGCTGTTGAAATGCCAGTGATTGAAACTCATAGAATGATCAAGTTGGCAGACATCCCCAAGGTCATCATCCTCCAGTCCAATGCCCTGGCAAACAGGAATCATCAAAGCCAGAAAATGAACTGATGGAGTGCTAAGCAACAGGGATATATACCGCTGATCCTTCAAGTCAATGCTATTTTCTCTCTTTCAGTTGGACACTCCTACCAAGAACAATGGATAAAGACTAGTCCAGAGGTCCTCCTCGTGCAAGATGCGGATGACAACAAAGAGGGAACAGTGGAGTCTTTCCTGAATCCAGAGCCTGTGATTGATACGGCACTTTTCCATCTGACTATAGCAAACCTCTGATGGATGGTGAGTGGAGTGGCAGGTGATCCTGATAACCAATGCTTACCTCCCCCTTTTAATTGAAAACATCTAGGGGTGCATCTTCACTGCAGAGTAGGGTTGTGTATTCAGGGTAAACCTTGACTCGTTTCGTGTCCCAGCTTTCAGTGGGAGTCCCAATCCATTTTTGGGGAGCCTCCCGAAATCTCCTTGGAAAGAGAGTGTACGTGTGGTCTGGAGTGCATGAGTAAGAGTAAGAGGTGTTCAGCTGCAGGCACTGCAAGTGCGCACACTTTCTGTGCCTGCATGCCACGCCACACACACACTTTCTTTATAAAGAGAGGGCACGTGTGGCATGCAGGCCCAGAAAGTACACGCACCTGCCAGTGCCTTCATGCCACATATGCTTTACTTAGTTACTTAGGCGATCCCTGGTTGTCCAAGTAGGATTGTCTTCCAAGATCGGTGTACTGGCGGTGGGTCCGTAGGTGACTGTGGAGCCCGATTCCTGACCTGCATCTTTTCCAGCAGTGAGGGCATTGGTTTCCAGGTGGAAGGCGGTCCCGGTCAGGGTTGGCTTTCTCTCTTTCGCCCTCCATTCATGCCTCTTCACATTCTACAGCACTGCTGGTCACCACTGACCTCCAGCTGGAGCACTCAAGGATCAAGGCTTCCCAGTTCTCAGTGTATATACAAGAGTTCTTAAGATTGGCTTTGAGCCCATCTTTAAATCTCTTTTCCTGCCCACCAACATTCTGTTTTCCATTCTTGAGTTTGGAGTACAGCAACTGCTTTGGGAGACAGTGGTCAGGCATCCGGACACTCTCTTTCCAAAGCAAGGAGGCAAGTTCTGGGAGACACTCAGCTGCAGGTGAAAGCAGGCTTGGAGATGGAATCGGCTCCAGCTTGCTTTCAGGTCGAGCTGATTTTCATGTGGGGAGGTGGCTTACCGTTTCGTGCTCCTGATGAAATGAAAGAAACGGGAGAAATGAATTCAGTACACAACTCTACTGCAGAGTAAATACAGTTTGAAAATACTTTCACTGCCAAAACTCAATACTTTGCAATCACAGAAGTTGCAGTTTTTCAAGGTTTTTAGCTTTCTCTGCCAAAGGGTTCTGGTGTCCCAATAACTACAACTCTTGTGATTCCATGCTGCAGGGAGACCATATCATTGTGCTGGAGAACCTAGATTCCTAGCAAGGTTTGTTCTTGGGTGCGGAAAGTTTGGATGGAAAACTCAGCACATTGTTGCAAACAGAAATCTTTTCCTGTTGCCAAATCTTTTGTGACACCAGCATTGATGTAAGGGGACCCCATTTGAGTTAGGGCCCACAGTTTAAGAAGCAATCATCTAGAAGGGTTGGAGGTTGCCCATTTTCTACTTGAGCCATAGGACCACTCTGGTTTCCATTTCCCAGTGAACCCAAGGAATGATCCTTGAGTAGATTTCTTGTGAACCTTTTCTATTAGAAGTCGTGAGAATGGGGAAAATAGTGACAAGAAAATTCTAGGATGTCCAAATAAGGTCCTTCTCTCTCTTGCCAATGTCTCCTTCTCTTCTGATTCTTTTCTTTGCAGAGGCGATGCTGCAGAAGCACATAGAAACCCTTCCGGCCTGGTGTGGCCCGAGCACCGAGTTTGTTCCCTTGGGGAGACTGACTGACCTCCTTCTGGTAGAAGGACTGACCGACCTCCAGCAGAAGCAGCATGACTTTGTCCAGATCGAAACCACAAAAGGCACGAGGAATGCCTCCAAGCAAATCTCCTTGGAGAAGCTCTTCTTGCCTCTCTCCAAGCTCAGCATCCCTCCACGGGTTTCGGTGACCATCGGGGTCAGCGGCATCGGCAAGAGCTCATTGGTCAGGCTCTTTGTCCATGCTTGGGGGAAAGGCGAGCTGGGCAAGGACTTTGTGTTTGTGTTGCCTCTCACCTTCCGGGAACTGAACGCATATGATAGGCTCTCTGCTGAGAGGCTGATCCACTTGGCATCTCCCCGCTTAGTGGACCTGAGCCTTCTCTCTTTCGTGGACACACCCCAGACTCTTCTGATTCTGGATGGCTTGGATGAATTTAAAACGCGCTTAGATTTTTCCAACGCCGCTGTTTGCACAGACCTTCGCAAGGAGGTCCAGGTGGAAAACCTGATCACCAACATCATCCGAGGAAACTTGTTGCGTGACATTTCGGTTTGGGTCACCTCCCGGCCTACTGCAGCTAGCCAGATCCCAGGCGGCCTGGTGGACAGGATGACTGAAATCCAAGGTTTTGGAGAGGCAGAAATCAAGGACTATTTAGACCACATGTTCATCGAGGACTCAAACTTATCAGATGACGTGATGCATCTTCTCAAGGGGAACAAGCCTTTATATATCATGTGCACAGTACCAGCATTTTGCAGGATCTGTGGATCCTCCATCGGATACTTCTTAAAGAGTGCCAAGGGCTCTCCTGAAATGTTAGCTGTTCCGAAGACTTTGTCAGAAATCTATTCACACTTCTTTAAAATGGCACTGTGTAGCGAAGGGACAGGGAAGCAAAATGAAGTTCCCAGGATAGAGCAGGTGGAGCAAAATTGCAAAAAAACGATGAGTTGTTTGGGCCGATTGGCCTTCTACAGCCTGATCAAGAAGAAATACATCTTTCATGAGCAGGACATGAAGGCCTACGGTGTGGACTTCTTGTCTCTTCACATCAGCTTGAGCAACAGGCTCTTGATGAAGGAAGAGACTCCGCTCTCCACCCTTTACTATTTCCCCCACTTAACGTTTCAGGAATTCCTGGCAGCTGCTTATTATTATATGGCTTCCAAACGGGCCCTTTTTGACCTCTTTGTTGAGAGCGGGATGTCTTGGCCCAAGCTGGGCTTCCTCAACCACTTCAAAAATGCCATGCAGAAGTCCCTGCAGTCTGAGGATGGACACCTGGATGTCTTTGTGCGCTTCCTTGCCGGCTTCCTCTCTCCACAGGTGAACAAAGTCCTGTCTGATTGGTTCTTGGTGAGGGAGGAACACCACAGTTACCGGAGCCACGCCATCAGCCTGCTCCAGAACCTCCTGGGTTTGGACCAAGCGGTTTCCTGCCGGACGGTGAACCTCATGAGATGCTTCCACGAGATCCAGCACACAGAGGTCACTGGCATCATTGAGGACGCTATGAAGAACGAGAACCTGGCTGGAATGCTGACACCAGTTAATTGCTCTGCCTTGGCTTATGTTCTGCAGACCTCAGAGGTTTGTGCGGAGGAGGCAAACCTCTCCAGCTGCCTCACTTACCATGCCCTCCAAAACCTTCTCTCCCAGCTGCTCTATTGCAACAAGCTCAGGTAAGTGACACCACAGATGAGGACATGGGCCAAGATTCACCATGGTGTGGTCCCCAAGTGTGTTCTCAGCAGTAGGACTTCATTCTGAGTGAGTATGAACCAGGAACAAAGTTGAGTGTTGGGGTGTTGTGTGGTTTCTGGGCAGTATGGCTAGTAGCATTCTAGTAGTGTTCTAGTAGCATTTCTCTGGACGTTTCTCCTGCATTTGCCACGAAATTAACTGCAGAGACTGGTTTGATGGCAGCTGAGTCAGGATGGGGCTCTCAGGGCAGAATCCTATTGCTGACATATTACTAGATATCTGGTCCAGTTTCTCTAGACCAGGGGTTCTTAAACTTTTTCAGCCATGGAGCCCTTTTTGAAGCAAAAATTTCTCATGGAACACCAAGAAATGTATATATATATATATCAGCCCTTGGTGGCGCAATGGGTTAAACCACTGAGCTGCTGAACTTGTTGACCAAAAGGCTGCAGGTTAGAATCCAGGGAGCAGCATGAGTTCCTGCTGTTAGTCCCAGCTCCTGCCAACCTAGCAATTCAAAAACATGCAAATGTGAGTAAATCAATAGGTACTACTCCAGCGGGAAGGTAACAGCACTCTATGCAGTCATGCTGGCCACATGACCTTGGAGGTGTCTATGGACAATGCCGGCTCTTCTGCTTAGGAATGGAGTTGAGCATCAACCCCCAGAGTCAGACACGACTGTCAGGGGAAAACCTTTACCTATACACACACACACACACACACACACACACTATATTCTCTCTCTCTCCCTCTCTCTCTCCCTCTCTCTCTCTCTCTCTCTCTCTCTCTCTCTCTATATATATATATATATATATATATATATATATATATATATATATATCAGACATGGGCAAACTGTTTGACGCAGACACATTGCCAGTGGCAGATAGATGAAGAGTGTTTGTGTGAACTAATGAATAAATCCCTATTAGGCACACTGCACATATCTCGTTTGTAGTGTAAAAGAAAAAGAAAGAAAGAACAATACAGTATTTAAAATGGCCTCCAACGTGCATTTATTGTCCTACATTACTATCCACCATAAGGGGAAGTGGGATATAATTCTGGGTGCTTGTGGTCTGTTGAAGAGGCGTAGGATCTTGGCCGTAGGGAGTTGCAATTATTCTTGAAGGGAAGGCACATGATTGTAGGTGTTTTGAAAATTACACGGAGGACTGTGGTGACTCAGTGGGCATCTGAATATTAGTTAAATGGAACTCTCTGTATCCATTGGTAGAGCCATCTTGAAAAGGCAGGATATAAATGAACTGAATAATAAATGAGATACTGAGTATCTGCTGCTGGGCATCCTGGTGGGAAAGCGATTACCTCTTTGCCCTACTTTCGTGTTTCCCGGAAACTTTGGATTGGCCACGATGATCTGAAATGAGGTGTACATTTCCATATAGCTTTCTTGCAGTCGTTTTCTCATGCCCTTCAGTTGTAAACTGTGAGATGCTTATTAAAAAGTGTTTGAATAAGTATTAAAATAGAACCAGATTGATCAGTTACCTGTTTTTCTCAGAGGAAGTGAATCTCCATTTGGCATGACCTGAACTATCAGGTACATCTTCCAGTCCTTTCTGCATCACCTGGATTTGAACAGCCCCCATCATCCACAGATTGCATGGCTTGGCCACTATGCATACTGTCCAACAGGATTCTGGAAACCCTAATTTAGAACTTTTATCAAGGTCTGAATTTGATGCAAAAAAGGAAAAGTTGGGTGTCATTCATCTATACATGGCTGATACAACATCCAAACCCTCTGACCCATCCATCTTGTGTTTTTGATCAGTTTTATGGATTTAACTGTTAATATATATTTTAATGCCATTGGCGTTTCTTTGTTTTATGTTTGTATATTTGTGTATTTTAATCATATTGAAAGGTTTTTTAATGTAAGCCACTTTGGGTCTCCTTTCTGGAGAGAAAAGGCAGGGTCTAAATAAATACAATAAACATTAATAATAATAATGTTGGTCTCCTCCCAAAGAACAGTATATTCTTAGGTTGTGTGGTGGCCCATTTGCTCAAAATACATTTGGAAGATTAGAAGTAGGAAATTGAGACTCAAAGTGGGCTTGGCCCTGACAATAAAGATATAATATATATATGTTTCAGATTTCAATATGAATGTCAAAAATATGTAGTATGATTTTGCATAGGATTTGTGCTACATTCGAACAGTGAAGGCAAATATCACTTCAGTAAATTGTGCCTTGTTTTTGTTTTTATGACAAAGCCAATCAGGGCTCCATGACTTGGCCTTGAGAGACACAACTATGGGAGAACCATGTTCCTTTTCTCTGCTCTCATTCTTTCCCAAAGTCCATTTGCTCTTGTTAGACCATTCAAGTATTACTTCAGCCACATCTACACAACCTGACAGCCTGTTGTGATGTATCACCATAAGGTTGGTCTCTCTCTCTCTCTCTCTCTCTTTCTTTTCCTTTTATTTGATCCAGGCTGGACTGCAACCAATTTAAAGACAATGCCATGGACCTGCTGGGCAGTGTTTTGAGTGGAAAGGACTGCCAGATTCAAAAGATCAGGTGATGCATATGCACCAACCATTTGTTGTTGTTTTTGTTTCCAATGTGCAGTGACCCTAAGACAACCATGTCATGAGAGTATGTGATTCGCCTAAGGTCACCTGTGTTAGATAGAAATGGAACAGCATTTCTAATTACAGAAAAATACCATTTGATGAACATGTGGAATATTGATAGCAGCTGTGTATGACTCTGAATGTCATGATGTAATACCTAAGGAGGTGCTGTAATGGCTGGGTCATAACCATGTGAGGGTTATTGCAAAGAGGTTGCATCAATCAGTATCACCTATCAGCAGGTGGCTATATAAGGAGGATGAAGGAATCCATCTTCCTCTCTCCTGTGTGACTCAATGTGAGTATCTCCTGATGTCGTATATGACTACCTGATGACTCTGATTGTTTGCAAGTACAAGGAGAGTGGATCTGCAAATCATATTTGTATATATTGCAATGGTGAAGATATTTTGGATGAAAACCTGAATCCGTGAGTTTACTAAACAGTGTGTAGATAAGGTCAGATGCTAGCAGTTGGACTCTGCTGATAGATAGGCTGAAGCACATATTTGCTGTGAAAGGACTTGGCTGTATTTATGGTTGCTTCTGGGAGACTAACCATCCAGCTTGCAGCAGTTCAGGGAGGTTGTGATTTTGAAACTATAAATCATTTCACAACCAGCATCCTGCAACAACCCAGGGTTTCCCACAGCTGGTCTCCATACTCATAGTCCAATGCTCAAATCACTACACCATACATAATTTTAAAGAATGCATTCTGATTGCTGGCTTATTTATTAAATAAATGCAGGTAATTGAGTGCCAGTTATATCTACTTTGGCAGCTAGTCCACTCATGCTTGATTTGCTTGGGGATCAGATTTCAGATTTTTACCTGGTCCTTATGAGTCAAATATGTTGTGAAAGGAAAGGCACTGTCCATGTCCAGTATTGAAGTTCATGCAAAGGAGATGTTTGCATGTCCCCTGTTTCTCAGTGAGATGTCCAAAGGTAACATTTACAACTTTGGGTCTTATCCAATGGGTTTCCAAAAGCTTCAGCGGTAATCAAACCCTGCTTTCCAGAGTCATAGGCTGGATCTACACTGCCCTAAAATCCAGTTCAAAGCAGATGATCTGTATTGTATATGACAGTGTAGACAGGGCCATATATGGTCCAAACGCTCAAACCACTACACTACATAGGCTTGATTTGCAAGGTCTCATGGCTGCAGTATGTAACTTTCCAGGAAATCCTTTTGTTGGAAGGGAAAAGTTAATGGTGGGGGAAAACACTTTTCCATTGACATTCATCTAGTATGAGTCTGAAGAAATTAGAAACAAAGGACTATACTCTCAGAATCCTTAGTTAGTGTTGCCAAAGAGATTGGGGTGCTTGGCTTTAACATATTTAAAAAAAGAACTATCCTCTGCTCTGAAAGTCAGGTGCTTAGTCTGTCCCAGGAGCACCTAAAATAAGCATCTGCCTCCTATTTTTGTCCCTAATTTGGTGCCATTTGTGGCCTTGTTGGATGTCTAGAAAGGAAAATTATGACCGCCAAGTGTTGCTGCTCCCCTGAGATGAGGCTGCCACTTTCCTCTCTCTGCAGAACAACTCAATTTATTCATGGGTCATACTAAAACCTATACGTTTGGCTCCAAAATGCACCCTCAACTTACACATGGGGTCAACTTATACATATAAATATATGGTAATTCTATGACTCTTACCTCTCAGTTAGACATAAGACGGTGAACTGCGGATTCAAGGTAGCTTAGAAATAATAGGTTTATAGGGTTGTTGTAGGTTTTTCGGGTTGTAGGTTTATAAATACTTAAGTTGAAATACAGAACAAGGAACCTGGATATCTGTAAAAAGGAAAATGCAACATCATATAAACCTCACTAAAGAATCCTAAATGCAGTTTCTACCCACTGTAAATCCAAGCTATTTGCAGCTGACTCTGGCCCTCAGCTCAAACCCAGTTCTTAAACCCGTAAGTAGATTTGACTTTATTCCAGAAACATGGCTTAAAAAATTGCCAATTTTCCTTCCGTTGGGCCACAGCAAGCCTGGAAGCTATCCATATTAAATCATCTCCTATAACAGCAGATAAGACAAACATATGAGATTTAACCTCTTTTTCCTCTTCTGGACAGCTTGGCAGAAAATCAGATTGGTGACAAAGGTGCCAAAGCTCTTGCCAGATCCTTGATGGTCAACCGAAGCCTGCTGGCACTTGAGTAAGTACTCCGTAAGAGAACTGCCCTGTTCAAAATGTCTTTGCTATGAATGGTCTCCATGCCCTGTGGCATCAACTACTGGCCTTATGGTAGAATTAAGGACATTTAGTTCATTTCATTTGCCCACTTAGGAGCCCCCGGTGGTGCAATAGGTTAAACCCTTGTGCCAGCAGGACTGAAGACCAACAAGTCACAGGTTCGAATCCAGGGAGAGCACAGATGAGCTCCCTCTGTCAGCTCCAGCTCTCCATGCGAGGACATGAGAGAAGCCTCCCCCCAAGGATGGAAAAACATCAAAATATCTGGGTGTCCCCTGGGCAACTTCCTTGCAGACGGCCAATTCTCTCACACCAGAAGCAACTTGCAGTTTCTCAAGTCACTCCTGACACGAAGAAAAAAATGCCGCCTTAAATGACTGCAGAGAGGAGATTGCATGCAGGGAGCAGTCTCTGCATCCATGAGTTATATACATTTCTGAAATCTTCAGTAGCTCAATGGAAGAATAACTGCTTTGCACATGCTAGTTTCGATGCCTGTCATCTTCAGATAAGATAGTTATTGCTCATATATGCCATATAGACAGTAGAGGGAGGAAAGGAAGAGAACTAACTGCAGAGATGGGAGGCAGAAGGGGATCCCAATGCAAATCCAGATCCTTAGCACCAAAGGAGCTTGCTGATATTTTCTGAACCATTACCATCATTTTTGGAGAATGTATGCAGATGATTTAGTACTCATCTCATTCTCTCTCGGTTGGGTTTTAAAAATCTTTTGAAGGCTTTCAGTACCTCCTGCCAAGAGGAATAAAAGGTAAAAGTTTCCCCCTGACATTAAGTCCAGTTGTGTCTGACTCTGGGGGGTGGTGCTCATCTCCATTTCTAAGTTGAAGAGCTGTCATTGTCCATAGACACCTCCAATGTCATATGGCCAACATGACTGCATCCAGTGCCGTTACCATCCTGCCAAGGCGGTACCTATTGATCTACTCACATTTGCATGTTTTGAATGGCTAGGTTGGCAGAAGCTGGGCCTAACAGCAGGAGCCTGCCCCACTCCCCAGATTCGAACTACCAACCTTTCAATCAGTAAGTTCAGCAGCTCAGTGGTTTAATCCGCTGCTCGCCAAGAGGAATATCTGTCAATAAATTACTCCAAGGCCAAGGTTGTGGTTTTTGGTATTATTAATAATAATACACTTTATTTATATTCCTCCTTCTCTCCCCAAAGGAACTCAGAGAGGATTACAGTATACACACATATATAGTCAAACATTCAGTGCCTTTTATACAATGAACATCAACATATAATACACAAACAAAGGCAAATGTTTCCCTTTACATCTCTGGCAACTGGAGGCAATGCTCAACTCTGACTATGGGGAGGTGCTCTCATTCCATTTTCCATGCTGAGGAACCTGTTGTCTGTAGACCCTCCTGGCATGGCTGCTTCTGGGTGTCTTCTGCCTTCCTACCGAGCCGGTACCTATTGATCTGCCCACATTACATATTTTCAAACTACTAGGTTGGTAGGAGCTAGAGCTAACAGCGGGAGCTCATCTGATCCACAGCTTCGAACTGCCAACCTTCTGGTGAGCAGTTTTTCTGCAGCTAGTGATTTAACCTGCTGTGCTACCACAGCCACAGGTAGGCACTGCCACAGGTATAAATGGATTTTAGACCAACATGTCATAGCACAAATCCACCTATTCAAATATTTGGGAATTGTTTTACTGAATCTCTCTCCTGGAAATGGCACAGGGAGGTCATGATTCTGAAAGCCAAGAAAACAAAAGGAGGTGCAATTAAATTTTACTACAATCAGGGCAGTCAACTGATTGAACTTGCTCTAAAAATGTTCAGTAGTAAAATGTTGGTGCAGATGCTTTATGGTGCTGAAACCTGGGGCTTCGTTACTGACACATGTAAAGCCTTGGAAATATTGCAGAACGAGTTTCTCCAAAGACTGTAATCTCTCTCCCAGCTGGAACTCCCATAGCATTTCTGCATATCGAATCTGGGTAGCCATCAGTCAAAGCAAAAGTAGATTGTCCCCAATTAAGGTACTTTAAACAAATTGCCACTCTACCAAACAACAATCTTCTAGCGTTGTGTTACTTGGAAATAGGTAACAATCAACTCTAGAAATCAAGCTGAGAAAATCTCCTACACAGCTATAATCTCCCCAAGTTGAATTCTACATTGGAAGTATATGAATTAGAGGCAATTAAGAGACTGGCTATTTTGGATTAATTGAGGAAGGGCCCTGCACTCAATTTGAACCTCGAAATTCTCCCCATGGTTCTTCTTTTTGAAAACTGGATATTTTAGAGCCAGATATCCGACCATTCTTGAGATGAGGTGCCAAGGAACTGGAGAAGGACAAACATCATTCTTCTCTATGAAAAAGTAAATCCAGGAAACTGCTTACTTACTTACATACTTAGCCAATCCCTCGTTGTTTGAATATGATGGCCTTCCAAGTGTTGTGTCTTGGCGGTGGGTCCATAGGTGACTGTGGAGCCCTATTCTTGATCTGCACATTCTTCCACAGTGTAGACATTGTTTTCCAGATAGAAGGCGGTAATGGTCAGGGTTGGCTTGACACACTCCCTTACTCTTGGCATGCCCTCCATTCGTGCCTCTTCCTATTCCACAGAACGACTGGTCACAGCTGACCTCCAGTTAGAGCACTCAAGGACCAGGGCTTCCCTGTTCTCATTGTCAATGCCACAGTTTTTAAGGTTAGCCTTGAGCCCAAGGTTAGCCTTTCACCCTCCATTCATGCCTCTTTGAATTCCACAGCACTACTGGTCACAGCTGACCTCCAGTTATAGTGCTCAAGGGCCAAGGCTTCCCAGTTCTCACTGTTGATGCCACAGTTTTTAAGGTTAGCCTTGAGCCCATCTTTAAATCTCTTTTTCTGTCCACCAACATTCCATTTTCCATTCTTAAGTTGAGAATATAGCAACTGCTTTGGGAAACTGTTATCTTTGGACATCCGGAAAATGTGGCCAGTCCAATGGAGTTGATGGCAGAGGAGCATCGCTTATTATTATTATATTATTATTATAACTTTATTTGTACCCCGCTAGCATCTCCCACAGGACTCGATGCGGCTTACACAGGCCAAGGCCTCAAAACACAATACAACAATACAATACCTGAAGCAAATTAAAAACAGTTAAGCAAAATAAACAACAGCAGTAACAATACATCGAGACGTCAAGACACTATAAAACTGGGCGAGGCCAGGGTAGTGGGTACAAGATTAAAAATGCTGATGTGGCAGGAGGTATGTAGGATTATAAGTAAGTGCAGTGTGCGGTGTGCAGTGATCTCAGTTACTAAAGTGCTTCTAGGACTTGGTATTGGGGTTCCTAATCTGAAAAGGCACATCGGAACAGCCAGGTCTTCAAGTTCTTTCTGAAGACTGCCAGCGAAGGGGCCTGTCTAAGGTCTTTTGGGAGGGCGTTCCAGAGTCGGGGGGCCACCACAGAAAAGGCCCTGTCTCAAGTCCCCACCAAGCGCGCTTGCGACTCAGGTGGAATCATGAGCAGGGCCTCTCCAGATGAATGAGTGAGCATGTGGGTTCGTAGACGGAGATGCGGTCACGCAGGTAGGGTGGTCCCAAACCGTTCAGGGCTTTGTAGGTAAGCACCTGCACCTTAAATTGGGCTCGGAAAATAAACGGCAGCCAGTGGAGCTCCTTAAACAGGAGGGTTGACCTCTCTCTGTAATGAGCCCCGGTTAACATCCTGGCTGCTGCCCGTTGGACCAGTTGGAATTTCCGAGCCGTTTTCAAGGGCAGCCCTACGTAGAGCGCATTGCAGTAGTCCAATCTAGAGGTGACCAAGGCATGGACCACCCTGGCCAGATCAGCCTTCGCGAGGTACGGTCGCAGTTGGCGCACGAGTCTCAGTTGTGCAAAAGCCCTCCCGGACACCGCCGACGCCTGAGCCTCGAGCGTGAGCGATGAATCTAGAAGGACTCGCAAACTGCGGACCTGTGGCTTCAGGGGGAGTGTAACCCCGTCCAACACAGGTTGCCACCCTATACCCCAATCCGGTTTGCGATCGACCAGGAGGACCTCTGTCTTGTCGGGATTGATCTTCAGCTTGTTCCTCCTCATCCAGATAGACACAGCGGCCAGGCACTCGTCCAGCACCCGAGAGGCCTCCTTGGAATTGGGTGGAAAAGAGTAGTAGAGTTGTGTGTCATCTGCATAGAGATGGCACCAACTCCAAAACTCCGGATGACCTCTCCCAGCGGTTTCATGTAGATGTTAAAAAGCATGGGAGACAGAATAGAGCCTTGCGGGACCCCACAGGTCAAAGGCCAGGGGTCCGAGCAGGCGTCTCCCAGCTTCACCATCTGGGATCGACCCTCTAGGAAGGATCGGAGCCACGACAAAACCATGCCCCCGAGACCCATCCCAGAGAGTCGACCCAGAAGGATACCATGATCGATGGTATCGAAAGCCGCTGAGATGTCCAAGAGAACCAACAGAGTCACACTCCCCCTGTCCAGCTCTCTGTGGAGGTCATCCACCAAGGCGACCAAGGCTGTCTCGGTGCCAGTGACCAGGCCTGAAACCAGACTGTGACTGATCTAGGTAGTTGATGTCATCCAAAAAGCCCTGGAGCTGGGAGGCGACCACCCGCTCCAGCACCTTACCCAAAAAGGGAGGTTGGAGATTGGCCTGTAATTGTTAAGCACCGTGGAGTCAAGGGAAGCCTTTTTGAGGAGTGGACGAACCACAGGCTGCTTCAGATTAGATGGAAAAATCCCTTGCTCCAACGATGCGTTAATGGTCAACGCAAACCAATCAACCAACCCCTCCTTGGCAGATTTAATAAGCCAAGAAGGGCAAGGGTCTAGGGTCGAGGTGGTCGCCCTCACAGCCCCAAGGACCTCTTCCACGGTCTCAGGAAGAACAAGCCTAAAATAATCCCACAAGATTGGACAAGCAGATACCTCCGTCACCTCTTCTGGCACTGTGAT